GAAGTGGATTCTAAACTTTACTTTTACTTTAATTGGATTTATACCCCGCCCCTCTAGACAAGGTCTACCCAGGGCGGCTTACATACATAAAAACATAACAAACAACATCTTAAAAGCATTTAAACATCAAAATTTTAACGATTATATAAAAGGATTCTAAAGAGTTGGAAACTATAGTGAAGAGCAGGGTCAACAAAATACAACGCTCCTTTCTTTACAATTCAAAGCAGGAAATCTCGACCCTTCTTTCAACCACAAAGGAAAGGGGGAGGGGGGGAAAGTAAGCTACTTCTGAGAAATGTATTCTTGTTTTTATGGCAGTGGAGGCGCCTGCTACTAATGATGAAGTGGCCACAGCACCCAGAAACCCAACCCCTCTGCAAAACAAATAAATCGACAACAGCATTCACACATGCTGAAATGATAAAGAAGGAAGCAACACATCACTAGCACAATTTAAAAGAAAAGAAACCGCTTGCCCAGGCAAATGAATTGATGTTGGCCGCATGTCATGTGAATGGAAAATTATCAAACGATCTAAATAATGGCCAAATTGGTATAATTGGGGATGTTTTGCTACCTCTGATTGTGCCCTTAGTTTTCTAGTGACACATTTTTACAATTGATGACTTTTTCTAATTCCTTCTTTGCTGAAGGGGTCTCAGTCTTCTTCTGGATTCTTGGCTGCCGTCCCCATTCAGACTCATGATTGAACCCAAGCACACACAAGCTTGAACAATTTCAGTGCCTTTGTTCTTTGCTCTGAGAGCCTATCCAGACAAAAGTGAAAAATAGAAAGAAATGAAATTTAAAAAACCAAAAACGTTGTGGCACTTTAAAGTCACCGTTACATTTCAGTCTGGGCTTTCCCGTATACCTCCAAATATAACACATCAGACATAAAAGATAAAAGGAAAATGAAAAAAGTAAGAGGGACCCTAAAGACTCATATCATTCTTATGTCTGAGGAAGTGGACTTGATCCATGAAAGATCACATTAAAATACAGCCATTAAGTTGTTAAGGGGCCACCCCATTTCATAGATTTCTGTTTTTCTTTTTCTTTTTCCCCTTTTCTTTTTTGGTCTGACATCCTTGCACAGACTAAGACAGCTACTTACTGAAAACTCCGAATATCACAGCTAGTATTTAAGGTGCGACAATACTTTGGGGTTTTATTTTCTGGATATGTTAGATGCCTGATGATTTCTAATGTTCTTTTCAAAGTAAAGGAACTCCCAGGAGAGGGGCTACTTTGCCTTTTACCTTCAGGCTGGTTTTGTGATTAAATAGCTGCCCCTCCCCACCTGCCCCTTTCCAAGCTGCTCTGTGGACCATGTGTCATTGATTCTGCAAGGATAAAAGAAAATTTGAAAAGAAAATTCATCTGGCAGGGAGAGGTTTAAGCGTTCCTCTTCTCGTCACCCAGCACTCTGCACTTGTTCCAAATGGTCCCACCCAGTGCCCTGCTCTGGTATAATGTCAGTGGAGACATCACCTGTGGTGTACCAAACTTACACAACTCATCACACACCAAATAATGCCTACAGCAGGTTCGGTAACTTGCAATTAATTCACCCACCTAATGGCAATGACCACAGGGTTTGGGACCCACACATTCATCAAATGCAACAGGATCTGGAAAAGTTACCCTCTTTGGACTCCCACTCCCGGGTGAAATGGTCTAGAATCTTCCAGCCAGCATGATGATGACCCATTAAAAAGTGATGTTTTTGCTACAAGCCCACCGAGCATAGAAAAATTACTCTGAAAATCACAAACTCCTGAATCCACCCATCATCAATGGCCAAAAATTTACTTTTTAAAATTACAACTCTGTGAATCACCCAGTCTCTTGAAAAGGACAAAAAGCTGATCCCACAGCTATAAATATTCCACTATCCCAACAAACTGCACCAGAGCACAGACAGAGTTCTGATTCCAGTCCTCTGAAGATGCCGGCCCCACAGAGAGTGGCAAAACGTTAGGAAGAACCACCTTCAGAACAAGGCCAAAGAGCCTGAAAAACCCACAACAACCAATTCTTTGAATATTGCTTTTTTTGCACCATAACTCTTAGAATCCACGCTGCCTAGGATGGTTGCAATCCAAAAATAGTAAAATTCCCAACACTGAGAGATGACTCTATGACGTTTACCGAGCAGGTTTGTCACAAGAGCCGGCTGTGACGGAGCCATCAGTGAAAATAAGGATAAATAATACTCTAACAACAGAAAAGGAAGTCTGTTAGTCACATCGATTGACTGAACATTCCCAGCTGGGTTATTAGATGCCTGCTATTTTAATTACAGGCACACACAGCTTCTGGTTCCTTTTAGCATCCTGCCCGTACGGCTTCCTTCATAGCAGAGTCCTTGGAATTTTATTATTGTTTATATAACTTGGCTTAATCATGTCATCGGGTTTACTGCATTCTGCAATAAAGCGCAACATAGAAATAACGAGTCCTTCACACGCCGATTACTTAAGCAATGTTTACCTTTGGTTGCATTTTGTTTGAACTGCTTCGTAACTTGTGTGTGTGTGTGTGTGTGTATGTGTGTGTGTAAAGGGACATGAACTGGGGATTGCTCAAAGGTGGGGAGAAGCTGCAGGGAAGGATCAGAGGACAATGATATGAATGGCTGACCCATTCTCAAGCTATAGGAAGCCGTATTGAGGGTGAATATCAAGAAAAACCTCTTAACTGTTAGAGCAGTAAGGTAATGGGACCCATGACCTCGGGAGGTGGGGAGCGCTCCAACGCTGGAGGCCTTCAAGAGAAAACTGGACCACCCTCTTTCAGATCTGCTTTGATTTCAATTCCTGCCTTGAGCAGGGGGTTGGAATTGATGGCCTTAAGAGGCCCCTTCCAGCTCCATTATTGTAGGATTCTATGATATGATTCTATGAAGATGTGCAGAGAAATGAACAGAAGACATCAACAGATAGCATAGAAATGAATAGAATAAACTCCTTCCAACTCATTCATTCTATGATCCAGCCCCTTTCTCTGCCCCCCCTGTTCCAAACCATCGCTTTACAAAAGGTCAGCTCACCAGAGCAGTGTTCCCTGCTCTGACCAGCAGCTGCTTCTCCAGATCCCTGATGGGGAAGGGCTTTTACTGTAAAGGGATCCTTCCTACCAGCTGAAGAAGCTTCAAGGAATTAAACCTGGCACACGCTTCTCACTGGCTGAGTTGTGAATGTTCCCTGTCTGTTCCCCCTCAACAATAATTCCAGCACCAGAATTGACACCATCACTGGGTTTCAAGCTGTTTGCCCCATCGAGACCATGTGGTTTGGGCTCTTATTTATTTCGATCCAACAGCACTCCAGATCGTGAGCTCAAATGAGTGGATTTCTTCACCAGTTCACACCAGAGAAATACTCTTTCTCTTAATCTCAGACATGGGAGATGGATGGTGGGGGTTTCTCACCAGCCTTCTGCACCCACACCGGTTTTTTGATGGTTCTTGTTTCAAGGGAACAGAGCCTGAAAAAGTTACTTTTTTTTGGGACTACAGCTTCCAGAACCCTCTTGCTAGCATGCCCGTTTGGGGAAGTGTAACTGGTCGCATCGCTCCACAAGAAGTCTCAGGAGTCTGATCCCCTCCCCCCCAACGGTGCCTCCCAGGAGAAAGGCCAGCCTGTGTGGCCCTGGGCAAACTGCACAGAATAAAGGAAGCAATAAATCGCTTCGGAGTACTCAGCACCTAAGAAACCCTGGCAAGGGCTGGCATAAGCTGGAACTGAATAACAAGCAGTTATTACATACAGTACAATTGGTTGTAGCGACTCTTAATAGGGCTTCCAAGATAAGGGAGATGTTCAAGGTGAGGTGTTACCAGGTCCACCTCCCTACCGAGCTTCCGTGGCTGAGCTGGAATTCGAACCCAGCCCTCCCGAGCTCCAGTCTGTCACTCTCTCCACTGCACCACACTGGAAAGGGTCGGCATAATTCTGCATCAGTTTGACAGCACGTAATCATTATTGTTGTTAAACCGAAACGGTGCTTGTCCCTGGCAAGGATCTGCGGTAGGAACACTCTTAATAACCACCCTGCTCACTCGGCCAACTGATGTTTCTATCCCTGACGACGTGTCTCTTCCACATGGGAGTGATCAGAGCAGAGAGTTGGAGGTACCAGAAAAGGTACCCCACTCAAGGGGTTTGTCTTGCACAGAAGGAAACGCCCTTCGGCCGAACCCCTTCTGCGAACAAGGACCATTTGGGGTTAGGCTTCTGTGCATTCTGGGCTTTGCAATAACAGGAGCTGCCCTTTGGAAGAGAGATCCCTTGGCTAAGCCAAAGCTCAGAGATCCACTCTGACTGGGAGTGGGACAACTGGAGGGCCCAGAGTGCCAGACTGGGAGCTTTCCTCACCTCTGAGGCTCTGCTGGTTATCTTGCTTGGCTTGTTCACGGAGGGCCCTTCAGATCTGAGTTCACAGAAAGCCTGTCTCCTCTCAAACACATTCAGATGCCGGCAGCTCTAATCATGGGCTGTCTATAACGTCTCTTTGTCCACTTAGCCCCAAATCTTGTTTTCCAAGCCTAGAAATGGATTCTCCGGCAGAACCCAAGTGCTTTCCCTGTGGGACTAAGACTCCCAGAACCCCCTGCCCAGGGAATTCTGGGAGTTGTAGTCTCCCAATGGAGCTTTGCCAAGGGTTGCCTACTGAATGCTTGTCTGTTTGGCCAGGATCCTCCTTCGCTTCCTTCTGCTACCTGATGCTTTGAGGCTGGCTGCTTTACAAGGCCAATGATCTCTGTCAAGGGTGCCTCTGAGCAAGTCCAGAGGGTTTTTTTCCCCCCTTCTTACAAGGAGCCGCTTCTCTCTGCTTTCAGATAAAGCAGAGAGGGCCGGCTTCTCTCTACTCCTCCAGCCCTTTCCGTCCTTTGGGGGACCCCCCGCCCCACTCCACGGGTCCCGATCCGGGGAACCCCCTCCCTTCGGGGCCCGATCCAGGCCTTCCCCGCGCGCCCTTCTTCCACTCACCGTGAAGGGCAGCGAGCAGACGGCGAAGGTGAGGGTCATGATGGAGAGGAGGATGAGGTGGTCCAGCTCCTCGGAGACGGAGAGGG